GCACGTGGGAGCATAGCGTGCCGCGCTGGCCGTGGTCTCATCTATCACGCAGCCCCGAGCTGTGAGACATGGCGGGGCTGGGCCGGTGTGACGAGCTGAGGGCTCCTGTGAGCAAAGGGGCCGCGGGGAGGGCTGGGCATGGGGAAGGGGTGTCCTCACTGGACACCAGCCAGGTGTGGAGCAGGCCTGGGGAGCCAGCTCGGGGACAGGCCGCAGTTCAGGAGCAGCACCCGGAGCTGGCGGTGACACCGGCAGGTCAATCAGCCCGGGCTGCAGCTTTCAGGCCACCGCAGGCTCCGAGCGAGCAGGCAGGGTGTGAGCTGGAGCTGTTCTGCGCTTCCCTGCAGTTCCTGCTCCTAAAGAAGTGTGAACTTAGCCTCGTGTTTAGGTGTCTCTGTCTCAAAAGCACATCTGGTTCCGTTCAAAACACTAGTGCAACAAAACGGTGAGAAAACAAAGCAAATTAATAGTAGGGAATTAGCTTTGGTGACAAGGTACTCTGGATGGCACTAGAGCTTCTCAGGACAGGGCACCAATACTGCACTGAGAAGAGCTAGCAGTGATTGCCCTCTCATTAAGATGTAAGGGTAATGCAAAAGGTTCAGCCTCTGTGATCCGTCTCTTGTGAAGTTCTGCAACAAAAAGATTGTTCAGCTTGATATGCAGTGTGCACTGACAGTCTATGAGAGAGATGCATAAATTACCATAAACACTTCTTTCGATCATTATGTAGTTTTGCAGACTGAAAATATTATTTTCCCTTGAAAAAAAAAAAAGTCTCTTTTATCAACAGGACACAACCACAGACAAAAGATGACATCTCTTGGCTAACACGGCCCTTTAACTCTGCTTCTGAAACTACTCATTTGATTACTCCATATATCATGTCATGGACAGTCTGGTGCAAGTTTGGTGTCATGCTCTCAGGATTATAATGTGGTTTAACAAAGCAAAAGCTTCTGACCTTCCTAGAGCAAGGAAAGAGGTAGGAAGGGCACCGCTGTGGGACTTGAGCCGTTGTAACAACGGTATGCTATGGGCCCTGCGGCAAAGAACTGCAACACTGCACTTTCTATTATAGGATGATCTAGAAAGCGCGTTAATGCTGTTGGCTAGGGAGCATCATAAGATGCTCAGCTGATTCTTATCTTTTTTTCCACCCGTTCTGATTCTGTGAGGCTTTTTAGTACCCACAGATAGCACTCACTTGAGTAACTATGCTAGCTTTGACCCATTTTGTGTATCTATGCCTACATCTAAGAAGCATATCTGACTTGAATGGTAGGCCTGCATTAAAACAAGCCCGAGTCCTAAGCTCGATCACATACATGCACACATGTGCATGCATACACTGGCTCAGTATGTTTTTCTGATGACTCTTAATTTTCTAGTGCCTGAAGTGTAAATGTCCATTCAAAGAGCAAAAGATCACACACTGATAATGGTACACCATGTTCTATGTCATTCGAAGAAACTACTATTCTTGTAACTAAAGACAGTAGTTTGCATTCGCTGCATTTTTTATAAACCTGGCAACCCCAGATGTCTATAGTTGCCTTTTTAGCCATGGAAAATCAATCATATGGGGCTTTAGCTGGCACCTGCCCATCTTTCTGATAAGTTGCTTGCTCCCAGTGCATTTAGTGCCATTTACATGGTGCTCCTTATAATGCTTTTCAGTTGTACTTTAGAAACTTAAATAAAGTTAGAAGGGCTGCCAGTAGAAAGTGGCATCAACACCAAACCCCATAGTGGTTAACAGGCACCTCATTGCTGCAGGGCCTGCTACTGCTTTTAGTAGACTGCCGTAAACCTGCCTCTGAAATTATGCAATGAGCAACAAAGTGAATGAAAACAACAGCCTCTTAGACAGGAATTTCGTTGTGTTTTTTGCTTATGCACAGGAATAAAATAATCCAACAGCACATTAGAATGCAAGTGTGTAGTAAATAACTAGAATATATTCTGCCTTCAATCACTTAATCCTGCAGTCCTTTCACACATGAAGTAAATATTCTTTTGTTTAGAATATCAACATCATCACTACATCAAAATAACCAGAGCATTTTCTTTGTCCATCACTTCTGATATAAACTTTTGAAATGTACAACTCTTGAGGTTTCCAGTCAATCAGTTTATGTTGAAACCTTTTGCCAGTGTCAGTATTCTCATTCACGTCCTTATTGAGGAGGAGAGAAGAGTCAGAAAAAAACCCCACCTTGCCTTTCAGCTCCACGCTGAATTTGTAAGTGGTTTTCTGCGAGGTTAGGCTGTGATGACTATTTTGCAGACAGATGGGTTATGGAGGAAACCTTGGGTGGAAGATGAAGGGTGTATGTGGCACAATGCTGATATTTGCTTGTTGGGGAGTATAAGCTGCCAAAGGAAGGAGAGCTGGGTGAATGGGAATGAAAGCAGGAAGCAAAACCTCCAGGAAATGCATTCAGGATTAAAGGAGGATGTTGTTGTTAATAGCATTAAACACACACTAACATTAGGACGTCTGAGAGGCCAGGCTTTGTCTAAGGTTCTTATAGTGCCTCTCACCTAGGTGGAGGTGAAACAGCAACCACCACACTAGCACAAGGTATAAACCCCCAGAGTTTGCGTTGACAAAAGCCACAGATACTTATTATTATTATTGATTCCTGGCATTGCATAAACCCCCAGAGTTTGCATTGACAAAAGCCACAGATACTTTTTATTATTATTATTGATTCCTGGCATTGCTTGAGTTGTGCTTTAGCTATAGTAATATCCGTCATGCAGGCAGTGTGAGCAGGCAGCAGGGTTCATCTCTCTAAAGGGGAAGTAGCAGCTGTACAAATATCCACTGTGAAATGTCCATGGCACTGGAAATCCTTGCAGAGCACCAAAAATTCTTTGTTAGCAGGGATGTGCTAAAATATGTTAAAAAGTGGAAGTGTTCATAGAATTATTAGACTTAAGATTTAGCAGGTACTTTTGAGTTTTTTTTTAAAAAACATGGTTTGTTTAGAATTTAGTGAATTTAGTTTTTTTTTTTTTCCTCCTATAAAATAGTCACTGAGGGGGCTGAAGGCTGTCGCAACCTCTCACTGTGATGCTCATTTCATCTAGTCCGTGCTCATTTATGTGCCAGGGAGAATTAAGCTTTTGGAAGTGAGAGCAGATGTCTGCTCTAGATCCAGCTCTGGTCTCCACTCTGCCTGTCTGAGAGCCCACAGGGAGCATGTGGCCTGGGAACCGTCTCTTCCGTGACCATTGCTACCACCCATTCCAGCTTTATTTTCCTTCTCCAAAGTATCAAATACTTTTACAAATGATCATCCGAATCTTAGCTAACCCTGCAAATGCTTTCAACCTAATAAAACATTTCTTTTTCTGTTGCAGAGCGCTCTCAGGATGGAGGCCAGGTGTTTCCTCCAACATCACTGAGGCAAGACAAAGTCCCGTAGCAGATTCCTACACAGGCTACAATCAGTGAAACACCAAGGATCAGCTGGGTGTAACCTGCCTTCGTTCACTGACTCCACATTCCTTGCGAGGAAGCTGATATAGAGAACCATGCACTTACACAAGCGTTCATGGCCCTGTGTACAGGTATTTAGCATCCCCATGTGATCTCTGCCTTTTCATCCCTGCTTCCCAGGAGTGGTTAACAGCAGTCACCAAGATCCAGGCTCTCCTGGATGCACTAACATGTTACCCCCCGTTATCCTGTCTCTTCCTGTATTAGCACTTACTCTCTCCCTGCTCCAAACAGCAGTTCATTATTTTTCCTGCCATAGAAGAGTGGTTGAATTCTGTGGGGATAACCAGACCAAGAAAGGATGTTTTCTGCTTTGGCACTTAATTTTCCCCTTCCACAGCCAAAAACGCAGCTGGATGCCATCTCCCCCTCCACTTTTTTGAGCAGCTCAGTGTTTTTTACCTTCGTCCTGGTGTGTCAAGCACGGATTTTGCGCAGTGAGGGAAAGCAGCAGTTCCGTGCCAGGATTTTGCAGGCGGGACTGGCCTCCGTGCAGCCCCGAGCGCAGTGCGCGCTGCGAACGCCCTTCCCTGGAGCTGCCTGCTCTGCTGCCTGCCCTTCCGTCCCCCGCTGTCCCCGGGGCCGGGCCCGGCGCAGGAGGGACGGGCCGCGCTGCCCCGGGGCTGAGTCACGGCCGGCAACCCCCCCGCTCCGCTTTTCCCGCTCTAACCGGGAGATCCCACCGATTCATTCTTCTGCATGGCTGCCAGGGATGCCCTCTGAGGATGCTCCAGGTGAAGCTCATAGTAACTGGAGATGATTTCGGCTATTGCCCTCGGAGGAACCAAGGCATCGTGGAGTGTTTCCTGGCAGGAGCCGTGTCCAACGTGTCCCTTCTGGTCAACGGGAGCGCTGCGGCAGACGCGGCCCGGCTGGCGCGCAGGTAAGCGGCTTTCGCTCTTACAGCCCCGGGAGAAACAGTGTCATAGTCCAGGCTGGTGAAAAATGAACCCCGGCACCTTTACAAAGAGCCCTCCAATAACACCACTGACCTGCAAATCTTCCTCTGGCACAAGCTATTTGCAGCACATTTTCTTCCTCAGGAAACAGCTACTTCCACAAGTTGATTGGAATAGTTTGGGTTTGTTGCTCTTTCACTTGCCAAGCTGCTGAAAGATACACCATCAGAATAAAAACGCACATTTTATTGCCCAGATAAGGCTAAAACTATGACAGCACAGAAGCATTAGTTTTAATAAATAGTTTCCGCTGGGTCAGCTAAGGTCACTGTGGAATGAGGAATAGATATTATTCTGCAAGTGTAAAATTGCAAATTGCAAAATTGCAGTTGCAAAACTTGTGCAAAACAAACCTGGAAAGTGGAAAACTTGACTTTTCATCCCTCAAAACCTAGAGAAAAGGCACCCCACTGTTTTTATTAATTTAGGCTCAATAAATCAATTTTTAAAAACCACATGTATAAAGAGCATGACCGTACTTTGTACCTGCCTTGTATCTTTGACCTTGACTCTTAGGGCTCCTCAGAGGTTGCTGCCACAGCTGGCTCTGTAACAAACCAAGTGGCATGTGTGATTCTCATGCACTAGCACAGCCAATCCTTTAATAGGAAGCATTACTCATATTTAGAATGTAAAACCTACCTAATGCTTCAGCTCAGCGTGGGCAGGCGCTTGGAAGTAGACGTAGGTCCTGAAAGAGAACAGCAGGGCAGGGAAACAGTCTAGGAGCGGAGGAGAAGCAGAACTGGGACCAGGTCAAGACCTAAGTCTCAAATCTAGCCGCTGCAAGGAACATTTTTGTGAGTCGAATTCTTTGTTCCCCTCCTGCATCTCTGCCCATATTGGCTGTGCTTGTACGAGGTGCTTGTGAATTGTTTGTAGCTTTTGTAGCTTTTCTGATGAGAATGACTGGCACTATCCGGATGGGGAAAGCCAGGGTGTTCTGCCCGGGCAAGCTGTTTTTTTTTTTTTTTTTTAAAAAAAGGTAGAGATGACACAAAAACATTGAGGTGGAAACCACCTCTGGATTGATGAGGGGAAAAGCAACAGGGCTAGGCGTATCACTACTGAGCTGCTTCAAACGCAGACAGTAGATGAAAAAGCATGTAAATCAGGGAGATAAAAACAGTGCCTCTCAGATGCAGCAGCACCATGAAACCCTTTAAGCCCCAGCGCTCAGTAGTGCTGATTGCTATTCTAGCCCTGGTCTTTAGCAGGCTTTTAAATATAGAATCCACCTTGGCCTCATTTCTTTAGCCAGAAAGTAGGCTGTGTAATCGGAGGTTTAGAAAGCATCTTTCAGTCTGGTTCATGACACTTGTCTCAGCACATGATACAGTTATGAAAAAGCAGGTTGGAGACAGCAGGTGACAGCAGAAGCTACAGCCTGCTGCTGCTGTTTAATTTTGGGGGGTATTTTTGAATTCCAGGTTTTGGAATGGGTTTTTCATTTCCATTTGAAAATGAATTGGATTCCAATCCATTTTTGAAGCTATAAGCTGGGTAACTTTGGGAATATCTGTTAGTACTGAAGATCAACAAGCCAGGTTCAGCAAACATTCATTTGTGCAAATAACTCTCTGCAGCTATATTTGCTCCTACCCAGGTAGTCAGGAAAAGCATTTTCAGGTCTGGGGCATTCTCAAATGCAAGCCCCAAATCAGGTGCTATTGGAACATACCTGGTGCACTAGACTAGTATCTGGCTATGTAAACAAGCTTACCTCACCCCCGAGATGTTTATTCCTGCATTGCATAGGTTCACCCAAACTTTTTGTAGACCTAGACATCTGGTGAATCAGACTTAGCAAAAGCCTTACTGAATTCTCCACTAAAACCACCTCACTTTGCTGGGCTATGATATGTGTGTGTGGGGGGGGAAAACAAGGTAAATATTATTGCCTTGCCACTGCTGGTGTTGTCTCCCATCCCACTGTGAATATTAAAACTCTGCAACTTTTTTTTTTTTTTTTTTTTTTTTTTTTTAGTGAGGATTAACGTCTGTCCTGATCCCCACTCTGTTCTGCCACAGGTACTTATCTAAGCAAATTCCAAACACGTATGCTTAATTCCGTGGTGAAGCTTTCAGCCTGTGACTAGATAGTGGTATAATCTAGACTGTCTCTATCACAGGTTGAAATAAAAGGTTTGGAACAAGTGACTTGTTCTTTCCTGTGGCACAATCTAGTGCTGTGGGTTTTAGTCTTTTGTACACATGATTTTGTCAGCATTTGAGTGCTTCTGTTGCTTATAGAGGTTATCTAAGTCCTTCTTAATTAACTGGCTATGCGTGGTTGCTTGCCATGTAGGTCTGGAACTCTCTCCCCTCTTAGTCTCCAGTTAGTTGCGTGTGGGCAAAGCTATTAAGAGCAACATTTTTCTTAAGCTCTTGCTGCCCTGAAATGTTAGGGCTCAACATCCTACAGAAAGATACAGTTCCCCTGGAACTTCATTCTTCTCTTCATTTTCACGGTGATTTTATAGGCCCCTGGTTATACCATCTGTTGCCTTGTGTTTTGGTGGGAAGACTTGGCAGAAATGTGGTGGTAGTCAGCAGACCTTTGTACCAGCTGAATCACAATTGCAATCGAGCAGAATCAAGCAGTAAATACCACACCTTCCCTAACATCCAGGCTCTGAGTCTTGGACTTCTCTCTATTGCTGTCAGAACGGAGCTAAAGAAAGTGTCCCACACCCTTCGGGCAAAACCAAAAACAACTAGTTTCAGTAGAGGCCTGATTTGTCACCACACTGCAAACTTATTAATCACAGCTACTAGATCAGTGCACAACCAGAGCAGGAGAAGGGAGAACAGACTCCCTTTGTTTTGGTTTTGTTTTCCAGTAACTCAACTTTCCTCTTTTAAGGAGTATAGATTGAATGTGACTTCCTGGTTATCCACTTAATGCAATCTTGATTGCATGTTTATCAGGCACCGCCTTGAAGGAAGAGCCAGTCTCTTCCTAGCTCCTCTTTCAGAGCCTTTCTGAGAGATGGGAGGGATTGTTTTGCTACATGGAATGGGTCCCTTAGAAGTGGAAATGTGGAGAGCACGGGAATACAACCACCTAGGTTTGATCACCACCATGTTTTCTTGCCTCCTTTATCAGCCATTTCAGCCGTGACTGAGCTTTGAGACCCTTCCAGATGCTTACATCCACATCTTACATTCCGCTTGTGGAAGAGCAACATATTTTAGAACACAGCCTCAGTCTTCCTGGGGGCTTTGGAGCTGACGGGCTGAACATTAGCTACACAAAAGCTGAAGCCCTCATAACATCTGGGTATGTTTAAAGGAAGACTCTAGCAAAAACCACATTTAATTGCTGTCTATGTTTTCACTTCCTTTCCCATCAGCACTAATTGCAAAATGTGTGTATAAACTGCATCTTCTGACCCTCCCTGGTCAACATCTGACTAATCTAGAAGTCTCTCTGCCTTCTCATCACCCTTTTATCTGACTGTTAATCACATGGCAGACAGTTACACTGCTGAGCTGTTTGGTTTGGGGGTGAGCTTCATGCCCTGAGACCTTGAACAAGAATCCCAAATCCAATTAACTTCATTGGCAACTGTACTTTTTGGAGATGTAACTTCATGGACACAAGAGTTTCAGCTGATACAAAGATATAGTCACAAAGTCACAGCCCTAAGCAATATTACGGTACAAGTTCTTAACAGTGCAGAGGCTTTTGAGGGTTTCTCCCAGCAGAAATAAGTCCTTAACACTAATGGAGCAAGACAAGATGTTATTTGATGGGAGACAGTTAGATGTTATGTTAGTTTGCTGGAGGGAAAAAGTGGAAATAAAATGTATGTAAATGCCCACACAGAGAAACTAAGAGGTGTTGCTCTTCCTGCAGAGCACAGCTTTGCTTTGTCTGGTTGCAGAGGTTTGGATGTTTACTGGAGCAGGATGTCTGGATACAGATATTTACATGAGACTCTTCATTGTGCCACACATGCTGAAAGCTGATAAGGCAGTAATTTCCCTGAGAAGGATACAAACAGGATGTTGAAGGTGAGATCTGTTTGCTCACCAAGGAAAAGGATACATGCTTACCCCAAAGTGTGCACTGTGGACCAAAACAGTCAAATGCAGTGATTTACAGCATGCCAGCAGCCACCAAGGCTGCTCCCAGGAGCACAGGGACCACAGGGTCTCTGCCACACATCCACCAAGCACAGGAGTGCAGCAAAGTTAGTGGGTATTTTTAAAAAAGTGACTCAGGGCAGTGACTTATTTCCAGGGACTCCTTACTGCTGAGGGTATGAATGAGTAGGAATTACAGCTGCAGAGAGGCCTGTTGCTTCAGCAGAGACTTGTTCAAAGCATTCACTTGGCAAAACAAGTACTTGAAAGGGAAGCAGCTTAGCTGATTGGGTTCCCTCTCCCTGTTTGATAGCTGGGCTTGGCTCCTTGACCAGGAAATCTTTCAGACTCAGTTCCTGGTTGCCCCTCCCTTGCCAGCATTTGTCACAAAGATATCTTTACCCATCACCTCTAAGGAGGTGCTGAGCAGAGAGCCACAGAGCCAAGGTGGCTTCAGCACCCACCTTTCTCTCAGTGGAAATAGCTCACAAGTTGGCTGCCTTTAGTGGCTGCACAACCTGTTTGCCTGGCCCTCATCTCAGCAATCCATCAGACAGCCCTGTCTAATGCCCCTCGTGCTGCTGTAGTGCACACTTGCATTCCTAGACACAATCCCTGAGTTTGAGTGAATTGACCCCATGTGTTGGCCCCTTTGCCTCCCTGCACCCTGCTGCAAATGGGGTCTCCAGGGGTTCCCATGCTGACTTTTCTCCCTGCCTTTTTACAGTGCCAGCGTGTCTTGCCCTTGTGCTGTGGTTGCAGAAGCTACACTCCAGTGGTGGGGGGTGCTTGGGGGAAAACCCTGTTGGTGGAGCTGTGAGGGGCTCTTGCCAAGCTTCTCACCTGGATAGAGCATGCCTAGAGCTCTGCCTCCAGGCCCAGGCTGTGTCCAGCCATAATGCTCAGTTTTCATCCTGCTCATGCTTTCATCCTCATGTTTCATGCTCATGCTTTCATCCTGTTGTAGTTGGGACCTGAAAATATTTGTGCAGTGTCAAGGCTGGTAGAAATGAATGCAGGGCGTTTGGTGCTGATTATGGGGAGCAAATGTCTCATTGCACCCAGAGGAAATGCACGAAAGAAGGTGCCACTCTCCACAGAACCCTGCTGTGCCAGCGACAAGGTCTGCCTTCCACATCCTTGTGGCTTTCCCCACATGCCTGCTCCTGTCTCTCTCTCCCACAGATTGGTTCCTCTGAACTGCTTTCTCATGTGCTGTTTTGCATTTTGGTTTCAATGCCCATATCCCGGAGCTGTTAAACATCAGCAGTTCCACTTTAAAGGCATGGAAAGTCTATCAAACAGTCAGGACTGACCAGCTCCCAGAGAAAACTATTAAGACATTCAGCTGGTGTTAGCCCGAGCTCTGAAACACGCTCTCCTGTTACTGCCAGCCTCTCCCCTTACAGCGGGAACAAGGGCAGCTCTCTCTGCACTTCCACATTCTGCACATTCCGCAGCTCCGGCTGCGTTGGGAGCCGCTCCTCCGCCGAGCTGCCGTCCTGCAGCGCCGGGCCTGGCTCCCTGGCGCCCAGCACCTGTCGGGGAGCTGCCTTTTCCTGGAAACAGCTCCCTGGGAGGCCCTGCGCAGCTGGGCCGTTCATTCGATGCCCCTGGGAGAGCGCACGGGGAAGCTCAGCTGTCCCTTTCCTTTGCCGCGAGGCGCTCAACCACATCGCTCCCATCTGCTGATTCATGGTGACACGTGAACCCCCTTGCAGGCAGCCGTGGCTGCGGTACAGAGCCATCAGCTGATGCAGTCGGAGCTTCCTAGCGGCACCATAAAGAATCTGGGGCAGTTTTCAAAGGAGTTGAGCTGCCTTTGGGCTTGGGCAGGGTACACGGCAGGCCGCGGGATGGAGGAGCCCCCTGCCCTTATGCGCTGCGGATGCCCCTGCCCTCACCCGCCGTGATGCTCTCAGTGTAACGCACAAGGGACAGCACCTTCCCATCCCGTATTGCAAAGCAGCACTAGGGCCACCCCAGGAGGATTTACAGAAGTGGGAGTGAAACTAAGCACAGAGCTGAGCTCTCACAGTCCCTGTCTGTCACAGGAGAAGCCACAGACACAGCAGCAGTCTGCAAGGCCTCGTGGCTGACGAGCTCTGCAGTACAAGTGCTCTTGATGTTTGAGGTTGTTGCTGCAATCACTAGCATCACTAGTAGCTTGGACTCACATGGTTCTTTAGCCTTTTCTCCCCACCCCCCACCCCCCCAAAAAAAAAAAAAAAAAAAAAAAAACCTCTAAAGTTTGTTTGCTTCACCCAAATCTTTCACTGAAAGCTCTCACACCCTCTGGTGACAGGGAGGGAAGGGAAGGTGCAAAGCTTAGCAGATATTTAATTCCTCCTACAGACACAACATCCCAATAGGCCTGCACGCCAACCTCTCTGAGGGCTCTCCTGTCTGTGAAGTGCTCAAGACAAACTCCTCTCTGCTTAACCAGGATGGATTCTTTCATGGGAAAATGGGATTCAGGACAGCTCTATCAAAAGGTCTCCTGAAAATGTCAGAGGTATGAGAAAAAGCCACGTACAGCTCACTCGTGGTGACCACCACTCACCTCACACTGATCCTAGCACACAGCAGTTGAAGATTTTTCCCAGATTGAAGATCTCCCCACTTGAAGATCTGGGCAAAGCCTAGAGGTGAATCAATAGATTGTATTGTCCAGGCAGCAGGAGCTGCCCAGTCCTGCCATTGAACTGCTCTGCAGCACTGAACTGCTCATCATCCCCGCTGAGCTTCAGTGACCACATGCACTGATGAGCTGTAACTGCCTATGTGGAGGGGAGGGTGGAGAGGCACAGGAGCAGATACCCCCAAAGAACTTGTAGAGCAATGCAAGGAAAGCAGCAGAAGTGCTAAGGAGGGGCTGAGCAGGCTTTGCATCACCTTGAGATGCCCATGTTCCCCAGGGAAGGGGGCCATTCTCAACTCATAGTCACTGGGATGGCGAAGTTCAGGTGACTAAAACTGATTATGGGTTTGGGCATCCATTTCCCCATTCATCTTATAGGGAAATAAGTGTCCAAATACCATAGACATTTTTGAAATCCCAGCCTCTGTGCCATCTCTAGCTAGTGCTATAAAGAAACCTGTACCTAGGGAAGGCCTTGGAAGACCCAACGTGTCACATGCCCATTTTACAGCACAGCACTTTGGGCCTTGCAGGGTCACATCCCAGGTGTTCACAGTACCCAGTGAGGTCTCCAGAAACTCCCTCACTCTCTTCTAGTCTCTGCACTGCTGACAGTTTATTATTATTACTGCCCTTTCTCTGCTGTGTAGGTGAAGCAGGAGCTGAAGGCCCAAGTGGAGCTGTTCCGTGAGCTGACAGGCCACCTGCCTCCTCACATGGATGGTCACCAACATGTTCACGTCCTACCTGGTAAGAGAGGATTTCTCTTGTTTCCAGCCCCAAAGGAAGAGGGACAATTGGCTCAGAGGAAACTCCCCCCATCATGGCTTGATGTGGGCAATAAACCTCACAGTAAGATGCTTGCTCCATAATTCCATTTTAAAACCTGGACTCTAATTGGCTGCATTTGGAAACCCTCCCTTGTCCTGCTTGGTTCTGGGGCCTTCCCCTGCCAGCAGCTGTGGCTTGGATGGTTGTGCAGAAGTCATATCAGGGCATCATTTGTCTCCTTCGGTCAATTAATCTGATCCCCAAAATACATTCAGAGTTTTTTTCTCCTGGCACTTGCTCTAACTCAGTGGCTTTAAAAGCTCCAGGAATTCTGCACTTCAGCTTAGTTCCTGCTGCTTCTTCTCTTGGCATCATGGAGAGTGCGTGGCCAGGACAGAAAACTTGCACCCAGGTAGGGCAGCAAGGTCACATCACCCCCTGCCCTCCCACCAGGAAAGAGCCCTGCTGTGTCCCCTGTCACGTGGAGCCTCTCAGGTGCAGGGGGACATTTGGCACTGTTTTGTAGACATGTCAGCATTAATAAAGGCTGAAAAGAGTCAGGGAATACAACCACGTTCAGAGCTGGGGCAAGGAGGGACCCATCCTACAATCTACGTCTAGTGTTGTCTGCTAATGCTTTCTTAAAGTAATAAAGGTTATTAATTTTGGAGGTCACTTCAATGTGTTTAGAAGAGTGAATGCTTTTCTGGCTCTCCAAGATGATTAATCCTAGGGAGAAAGATGGCAGTGCTGACAATACAAGCAGAGGATGGAATTACACAGAGCCTTCTGCAACAGCGATAGCAGTGCCCAGCATCGGGAAGGCTCTGATGTGCCTGCAAGGATGTGGTTTGATTTCTCCTCCTGCCAAAACCCCAGTGCTGGCAGTGAGGGCCGTGCAGATGCTGAGGGCTGGAGAGCTTTTCATTTCTGTCACTCACAGTCACCATGATTAGCTGAGTGTGCTCCATTCTAACACAAGTCCGCAGGCCATGAGACTTCCAAGGGTTTAGAACTTGGTCTGGCTTCTGAGTCCAAACTCGGTCCCATCTCCCAGGGGAGTCATGGATCCTGCCAGCAGAGCCTGGGAGCTGGAGCACAAGCCTCCTTTTAGGCAGATGGACTCATTCCACAGCAAGAAAAACCTTTCTGCAGGTGGAACGGATGCAGAGGCACCTTTTGAGTAAACTGGTGCTCTTGAGAGAGGTTGCATCAGGACAGTCTGGACTGCGGGGCTGACACTCTACATTGCCACGTAACCACTGACATTAAAGCTGGTAGCTCTTACAAATGCTAGAGTAAGAACTGTGCCCTCTCAGTTGCATTCCTGACTGGCCTCTGTGCACAGGTCCCAGCTTGCTTTCCACGACTGGCAATATCTTTGCCCCCATTTTCCAAATGAGGTCATTGTGGCACAGAGATGGAAAACTCAGTGAGCAGAAATCCAGATCTTCCCACCCCAACACTCAGTTTCTTCTGGATGAAATTACCTTTAGCAATTTTCCCACATAACAAATCTCACTATCCAGGGATTTTATGAAGAATTTGTTCCCAATAGGGTGCAGCTTAGGTGACTTTGCACTAAGACCAGAGCCACTAACTTGGAAGGGGTCACTGAATCAGATGGGGAAGCTAGGGGAGCTTGTTGAAAAGCTTTGAGATGCTGGAGCAGTAACATTGCTCCTCCTGGTACGAGTCCCTCCCTGACACTGCTTCAGGTGGGGAAGTGTTATAGGGACCTCTATCCAAAGAGAGGAAGCCCTGTCAGCACGAAGGGACTAAACAAGGTTGTATTTTTGAAAACCATAGAAGGGAAAAACATCTTTGCACTAACAGCTTGCTGGAGAGAGAGTTGGTTGATTTGCAACTAACTTGTCTTTCGTTTTGCTTGTAGAGGTCAGGTATGTGTTTGCACAGGTGTTGGAAGAATATGGGATCAAGTACACACGTGTTCCAGTAGAGCCAGGTCTTCGTAAGTGCGACTGGATTGCACCATCTCTCATGGACTTCTATCAGGGAGTAGAAGAAGATTCCCTTAACACAGTGGATGTGTTTACAAAGCATGGAATAAGGTGAGGCAGGCATTTCTCATCCTTGTTTATGTTAAAAGACCTGAGATCTTATCTCTGGATAAATTTTTTTTCCAGGATGCAAGAACATTACTGTCTCCACTTTGGGGCTGATAATGAGATGAGTACAAAAGCACAGGGAGGCACTGGGGCTTAGTATCTTTGAACAGAGATGACTCACTTCTCACCTGAAAAAGATCCTTCCTTTCAGGTTTGTTTCTTAGCCTTTCTACTAAAGTAGCACTAGGCTGGCACCTGGAACAGTAGGAGGCTGAAGTTCTGTAGCAACACTGGAATTTTCAAAGATTTAGGAGAGTTTTCCAAATTCTATTGTTCCTGGAATAGCAAGAAAGTGCTTCAAGTACTAGGAAAGAGACTCACTGGAAACAAATGCTTGTTATTAACAGCAGACAGGATGATGAGCAAGCTTGCAGTGTAACAGCAGGTGATTGTTAGCCTATAAAGAGCCTTGCTAATATCCTACACCTTCCTGGAGTCAGTACCAAAAAAAACCCTTCCCCCACTATCATACTTCCTTTGAAAGCTTAAATTGAACATGTTATGGAAGAAAAATGATTCAGCTGAAATTCCTGCAGTCAGTCACCTATCCTCCTATTCTTTACTGCAGATTTCTTTCTCAGTCCATTCCATTCTCTTGAGCCTTAATAAGTTCATTCATTTATTAATTGTTCTCAAGCACTGCTCCCTTCTAAGCACACCAGTAAGAGCCTAGTGATTCACCACTGCTGTGCCAGGTGGAACACACATTTCCAGCCCACATCAGCAAGAGAAGGGCACAACAATTCCTAGACAAGTTAAGCCAGAGATTGCAAACATACCTTTCCAAGCAGCTGCAGTACAGCTCCAGTGCTGGGATTCCCATTCCAGAGCCCTCTCCTCCAGCCTGTGCTTCCCTGCATTCATAGACCCTGGGAGACTCCCAGAAGCTGCTCCTCTCCCCCTAACAGCCCTAAGGCAGCCCCAGCACAGCACCTTAACAGCCTCCCATAGCTCCATCCCTCCCTGATGCTCTGCACCTGCCTCCTGCATGGAAAAGCTGCAGTTGGCCAGCAAATGCTTAACTGGTCTCATCTGTTCTGGTGCAATAGGTGAAATGGGATTAAACTGTACTAAAAGTAATACATGTTGCTCTCTAAGACTTCTAGGAGAATGGAAGAGCTAAAATTAAAGTCAGCCAAACTCAGGGGGATCCCAATTCCTGCACCTGTGCAAAGAGCTTCCACACAGAGCTCCTATAGTTGAGCTTGAGTGACACCATGGAGGGCAAGGCTGTGCCCAACAGTGACGCTTCATTGAGCTGAATCACGGCCTCTGGCCTGTGCCTCTCAATCTATGAAGTCTCCAGCAGTACTGATGCTCTGCTGGTGTTTTGGCTTTTAAGTAACTTTGACTCTGAGACACATTTGGGATTTGGTTCCACTTTATTTCAGTCACGTCCTTTGTTTCCACTTAGTCAAGGGATATTCTTGGGAGATGGTTGTTACTCAGTTGATGATTGGCCTGTCAATAGTGAATGGTTTTGACAGGGTGTAATTTCTCAGTTGAGTGACACCCTTCCCATCCGTGCCAGCAAAGTGCACCTGTAAGTTCATAGAAGCCAAACAGCCCCTCGTGTGTGACACAACGTTGCGTGGAGGGAGAGCAGTAACAGAGATGTTCAGGGCTTTTGCTCAGTTGTTTGTTTGTAGTTGTTGTTTTCCTTTTGTTTAGATCTAGATGTTTATGACAGCTTGATAACATGAAGACTTTGTTATCTTAAGTTTTACCTTAACTTTAATGCCTAATCCAATAAAGGCAGCACGCCCTTGTCTGGCTACCTACATGAACACAAATTTCCACGTTCCCTCCCTGCAGGTGGCCCGACATTTACATCGGTTTGAGCACCATGGGCAAGAACATGTCTGTGGGCAACATCGGCAGCGCCATCGACGCGGCCGTCGGGGACTTCCTTGGCCAGGGGCCCCGGAGCGGCGGCGTCACCGTCTCCGTGGAGCTCATGGTGCATCCGGGCTACCCCAGCGCCCCCGACGCCGGCGGCTGCGGGGAGGGACCCGACGATTTCTCCCAGTCCTGGGAGCGCCTGCACGAACTCCAGACCTTGATGGAGCCGGAGCTGCAGCGCCACTACAAAACCAGGAACATTCAGCTCTGTTCGTTCAAAGATATATAAATAAACACGAGTGTGCACGCACACAGCTTTGTACTCTGAAGAGATGCAGTTGGTGCCAAGCAGTTAAACCATCGTTAATGTTTGTAGTAGTCCCCGATGCAGGTGATGGAAGCTGGGAACAGCATAAGGCCTTGCAGGGAAGGAGAGGCCCCTGGACCCTGCAAGCACTTGCAGCAGAATGGCAGAACAACTAGCCCTGATTGGCATTTTTTTAAGCCACAGCTGCTGGTTTGAATGTGACAGATCCCTTCTGCATCCCCCCCCACACACTATTGCAGCGCAGCAGCCACGGCCAAACCATCCTCCTCAGCGCCGGCCAGCGCGAAGGCAGGAGCACAAACCTTGGTGTTAGACCAGGGAGCACTTAGAGCAGTTTGTGAGCTTCTCTTTGGGAGAAAACTGCTCCCCTAACAGGAAAAAGAAACCTGTGGCGAGGAGCAAAGGCTGCTCCTTGCAGAGTGCCCAGCAGAGGCCTGGCAAACTCCACAGTTAGGTTTTTTTGAAGGACTTGGACAAGATGGTCCTGATTTGGTGCTTGGCTCCCCTCTGCACACGCTCGTGCCTGCACGTTTATGGCAAGGGGCAGGTTATTTCAGCCCATTTTCCTGGTCGGAGCAGCCAGAGCTGTTTTAGGCCACCCTGCAGTCGTCCTCCATGCAAGTCCCCAGCCAGGCTGGGACCGGAGGTGGTCACAGTTCTATTTACGCTGCCTCTTGGCATTCAGCCACCCCAGGAAAGCAGCATCAATGACAGAGAGGCTTTTCAGAGAGGCTTTTTTTTTTTTTTTGGATGACTTAGCAGATGGGTCAACAGTTGCTGTTCTTGCAGTTTCAGGCACTGCTGCATGAAAGAGCTGAGCAGCAACTGCTCCTGCGCTGCCGCCGCCCCCAGGGACGGCCGGGCCCCGCTCCCGCCTCCGGGCAGCTCTGGAGCAGGGAGAGGGTCCTGGATTTGCCTTTTTGTTCCTGGCGTGAGCATCAAACTCCATCACACCCTGGCGAGCGGCTGTGCTGAGGTTACACTGCAGTTCGTCTGCGATACTGGTTTATTCTCCCTTTACTTTCTCAGAGAAAAAGAATCTTTTTTTTTACAATTGTTCATATTTACTCTCCTCTCAAAAGGGATCTATTTAATGTCGCATTTTTTAATGTTAAGGATTTTAATATGACCATCATTCTTTTGAGTGAATAATAAACTCAGGCCTTTTTATTTTTACTGTAATGCTTTAGGAGGGTTTGGCTTTTCAGTTTGGAACAAAGCAAAGGACACGTTTCCAGAGATGCTGAAGGGATGGATGTTTCCATCATTGCTGGGAACCATCGATCGACCTTTTCTCCAAAGCACCTGAGGAACTTTTTGTTCTGTACATCCATGAAAAACACAACTTCAGAGTTGCTTTATATGATATTTTTCATGTTCTTCTCTATTGTCCCCAGATGAATCAACGTAGGATATATGATTTTAAACAGTGTCTCTCCCATGCTGTACAGATGAAATACAGAGCAGTTGAGTCAGATTAAAACAGCAGTTACCGTTCGGAAGGTGATTTCTGAAGCTTTCTCGTTGGCATTTGATGGCAAAGAATTTTGCCATGTGAAAAGGGGGATTTAAAACCCCCGAACCCAGGAGCTCTCAGGACTGCACCCAGCCCCAGCGCAGTGAGACCCGCGAGTGCCACCTGGTGACCGCGCGGGCCTCGTGCCCGGGGACAGCCTGGCAGCAAGGCGGCATTTCCGAAACCCGAGCTCGGACTTTCACATTGCGTGAACACATTTTGTTGGATAATTTTTAAACATACCTAATTTTGCATGACTCCATGTTCTGGCTCATGAATTTGCTTCCCTCACAGAGCTGTTCATGTCTGTTTGTTTTCTGCTTTGTTCACACCAGCACCGGAACCGGCACGAGGGCTGTCTTGAGTGCATTTTGTATCGCGAACAGAAGTATTTTGTAAAATCTGTATTTTTAACGAACAGCATTAAAAAACTTTTTTAACTTCAAAAAATGGGGAAATTAATAAAAGCACTGAAAGATTTCTGAGCATGGAAGCTTTAAAGTGAGTGTAATGTACCCAGATAAGGAAATAAATTCTCAGTGGTTCTATGAAAGCTTTAAAGGTGACATCGAGTTCAAGCTAAAAACACACTTAAGACCCCTCCCTAAAAAAGTCATGATATCGAGATTAAAAGCAAATAAATAAATGCAAACCCAGTCTCTCTGAAAATAAAACCATGCCACAAAGCCTTTGAGAGCATTTTTATTAGGGTAGCAGAATGGCATTGCAGAAAGCCTACACCAGCACTCCTGCGTGTCGTTTCACCGGTATTTTGCTTTTATTTTGGATCTTAAACTGCACGTTAAGAATTCAGCATGGCTTAGGGAACCAGAGAGAAGGAGACCTCGAGTTCCTGAGTTAACGTAGGTCTTGGTACGGGATTTTTCCTCCCCTCAGACTTCAGCCGCACAGTTCAGCGCTCGATCTCTCTCTCTTTCTGAGGGCCCCTACAACCAAAAGCCGTCGCGTGGGTGACGCAGCCCGGAGCTGAGAGGTGAAGGAGGCCAAACCCGGGAGCGGAGAGCAAAACCTTCCTCCTGCGTCATCGTCACAGGCGAAGCCCAACGGCTGCGACAGCCTCGCGCGGGGCCGCGGCGAATCCCAACGGCAACTCCTGGAATTGCGGAGCCCTTCCAGTTCCCTTTCCATGGTGTCCAAGTCACACTGATTCCAGTAAATGCAGCAGATAACCTGAGCTTTACAACCACAAAGTTTGCTGTTTAGTAGTAACGAGGGCAGCAAGCTAGTGCTACAGTTTTGTTTTTATATAAAAAGAAAATGTAGAGAATGGCAAATTTCCATGCCAACAAACACGATCAAAAGGAACAGAGACTCGTTTAAGTATCTGAGGCAGAAGTTACACACACTTCAGTTTGACAGATAATTTGGCATTATTTTATTATGAATCTGAGTGAGCGTGAATGAAACAAAATCAGTACCAACTTTCTGCAAATGAACACACAAAGATGTGAAAATTTGGTAATAGACAGTGCTCTCACAAGCCTGAAAACACTTACGAAATGCAAGTTTCTGTAAATAAGGTGAATGTGGTTTAACTTTATTTACCTGCCAAGGAATCTGTCTAAGAACACTAAAACATAAAATTTCTTAGCTCCCTAACCTATATATATATATATAAAAAAAAAATACTTTCAACAGAGGTGAGGTACTGGGCTGTCATTGTTTACACTAACTCTGAAATCAAAGCTGGGTGAGAGGGAGGGATGGGAGAAACAGCAACTCTACAAGACACGGAAACCAAGGAAGAGCCACCGCCGGACACGGTGGTTTTGAAACGCAACAAGGGCGGAGGCTGCATTAAAACTTATTTTAGTAACAAAAAAAACTTATTTGAGGACTCAGCTGGGTGTGAGGGATTTTTTAATGCAACTTCCTGCACTCCAAAGCGCCGCTGGCTCCGGCCACGCAGGGACCCTTGGAGGGCGGCCGGTGACTGTGGGGCAGTTTGAGGGCAGAGCTCGGATCACGCTGCAGGTTTAGGGGGGAAAAAAGAACAAAGGACAAGAGGGGCAGCCACAGAGGAGGGGACGCCAGAGAGGATCCTCATTTCGGAGGGAAGGGCTTCCTGCGGCCGCGGAGCAGAGGGAAACCCCTCCGGCCGCTGCAGGGGGATGACAGGATGACACGGGCAGTGCTCGTTGCATCACCCCACGCGCATGGGCACGTTTCAAGCCTATGAACAGCAGTGGTGACGTGGCCTCTATTACAGCTTATTGCTTCTCCTATGCTGCTAGCATGTTCAGTAAGAACTGTACAGGAACTGGGGGGCAGCGGGAAGTGGCACCCCAAGACGCGGGTGTTGCAGATCACTCTGGTGGAAAAACACTCTGGGGACTGACGGTGCTGTCGGATCTAGGATTTAAGTTTAAAATGATCATTTCCAAAAGATACTTTTTTTTTTTTTTTTTAAACTCCAAGACCAGTTTATTACTTTGACACCTCTTGGTCCCCATTTTCTGAAACTCTTATAACTTGGTTGCAATGATGTTCTGTGCAATTTTTCCTAGCTACTCTGCACATGTACGAAAAACAGGAGTGAAGGAAGTTCACAATCACATTCCACTATCACTTGCTATGGATTTTTTTCCCCAAGGTTTTCCAAAAGCAGGACATAAGCCGTATTTTAATTCAATCACGCACACAAAATCTTGGGTTTCCCCGTTTAATAAACATTATTGTGGTAACATCAGCCAGATTTACATAAGACCTGGACATTATTTCTGATTGTTTTTTGTGGGGTTCATCTGTTTTTGTTTATTATGTTACAAACTGAAGTTAAGGGGAGCTTGCAATGCAAGTCCCACAAAGCACAGTGCAACATTAAAAGAGAAAAGTAAACAAAACTGCCAAACACTCAATCATTTTCTGCCAGAACTGGGATAATTTCTCTAAGACATCAGTTTGGGGAGGGGAAAAAATTCAATGAAGAATTAAATGAACTCAAGATAGTGGGAACTGCAAAGGAGAAATAAGAAATGACAGCCATAACCTTCTCAATTTAAGGGCAGAATATAAGTCTAAGATATTTTTGATAAATTCTGACAAGAAAAAGAAAACAGCATACTTTAAAGTATATTGAAGCAGTGATTTTTAAACAAAGAAAGCAGAACTAGAACATCTTAAATTTTTAATCCTTTCTTTACAGGTTACCTAGCCCACTTTTGATTAAGAAAACTGTAGAAAGTTAGTAACAGCCACAAGTTAACACCGAGAGGTGGCACTTGTCAATTTTCCATAGAGTCCTGCTTTACGGGGTGTCTCAAATGCACTGCTCCGATCTTCTATCATACGTTGCTGACATCAACTGTGTCAGATTTTAGTCCACTGGTCGCTTTTCACCATATTTCTTTGTAAACTCTTCAGCATTCTTACAGAATTTTTTACGGTCCTTAGAGTATTCTTCAGCTAGGTCAGCCCGAAGGGGGTGTTCGGGCTGGGGATCATTCACCAGTGCTATGAGGGACTGGATTACTGTCAAAGAAAGTATAAACATCGTCAGAGACTGACACGGTTAAACTTCAAAATCAAGATGCAAGCAAAATGCCTCAATAATAAGAGAAATAAACCGTACTTAAATACATCTCTATAGATGTAGGGTCTCTAAGGAGCGGCCCAAGACATTGCATAAACAAGCTCTAGCAGCACGTCAAGCTTTAGTTGGCCAAAAACTGTGAATGACAACGAGAAAAGAGACGTTTGAAAACTAAATCAACCTCAGTACGGACCACAGTGCACTACAAAGGCCTAGGAGGCAAATGAACTGAAGATTATTTTTCAGTGCAAAGGAGTTTTGGAGAGAGAGGAAGAGGCTGTTAGTATTTTGTCGTAGCTTTCTGCAAACATGAAGTAACAACATCAGAAAGTGAGACAACTTCTTGAAAAAAACAGGAAAAAACAGACAGACGAGAGACTGCGAAGCAGCTCGGGTGTAAGATCCACAATATCTTGGTACCCAGGATTCGTTCCAAGTTCTGATCTTAAAACAGCTTTTCTGCCCTCTCAGAGGATTTTGCTGCTTCTCAGTGAGAACTGACTATTCCCCACGTGCACAGAACGGCCTCGGGAGCCGCAGCCGGGGCCGGCCCGCGCTGTGGGGCCCTCCTGCCTTCCCCCAGCTGCAGAAGGAAACACAAACCCGAGCACGACGATGTGTTTTTAATGGAAACCTTCTACACGTTCCTCTAATTTCTTTTCTCTCAAGGGTCAGTCTCCAGTATAATTTGAGACAAACTAACCCCAAAGACAAGACACTCGCTCACCTATTCTGAGTTTAGAAGGCTCATTTTGCCTCCCCCCTGCTCTTTGCATTCAGCCACTTGCTCTTTTCCCAAGCAACTAAAGGAATTTTCTTATTTTGTCTCTGGAGCAAGAAGATCATGCAAATTGTAATGAGTTTTATTAGTACACAGTAAAGAAATCCTAAGTACAGTATGGTTCACTGTCGGGAACACAACTCAACTGAACAAACAAAAAACCTTAAAGAGGGGTCTGGAAGAAGGATGCATTTTCTCTTGCAGATCAAGACTCTTCAATGCCACTCCAGCTTTCACACTGGACTAAACTCTGCTAATTTGTATTCACAATATTAAAAAAAAACCAGCATTAAAAATAGCGAACATTCTTGCAATAATTACAATAAACATTTAATATCTAATTACTTGCATCTTCTAGAAAACATGAAATTTTCAACACAAATATTAACTGAAGAACACAATAAAAAACTATTAAGAACATCCTCAATCTGCCCAAGCATCCAATGAAATATTTTTCTTTAAAATATTTAAAATCTTATATGGATACGGCACATTGTAAGCTCCAATGCAGCTATCTTCTAAGAACCAAAAGTTAAATTATGTTATGATTTGGGTTTTTATTTATGATTCCCCAGATATTCCAAACCAGATGTTGAGTTCGCTACGCCACATTGAACAGATTATAAAAGCCAATAAGCCTTGAGGTTTAAGACTCTCTTCCAAACAATCAGAAAGGTACTGAACACCTCTGGTTTATAAATCACTGATTTAAAAGAAACACAAAATACACCCCATTATAAGAACCAGAAATTATGTTTTTCTTCTCCTTTAACACACCAAGCACACTGCCTTAAACTCTTCAGTCATTAAGAGCTTTGGGGTTTCCTGGAAGCAGAAATGTCACCACAGCAGATGCCAAGAGCGAGTGTCACTACCTCAGAACCCCATTTTGTCACTGGATCGTAAGAGCTGCACCCTGTGCTCAAAAAGTGTGATTCATGATGCAAACCTTAAACTACATAGTAGGACAGATGACCAGCTGCACCTGCTATTAGCTCCAAACACAAAATACAACGTTTCTCAATATCAAGTTCTTTCTCCACATGGAGTCCTACCTTGGTCAGTTTTGGTTGCTGGCTTCCAGTTTTCAGCACTAATTACTGGCAGACAGACCTGCCCCTTTTCATCAATATTAGGGTGATAGATCTTTGTTTTAAATGTAATCTTCGGAGGTTTGAATGGATATTCTGCTGGAAAGTTGATTTCGATTCTGAAGGCTCCTTTGTCATATGGAGGATTGTCCTGCAGCAAGAACACAGAACACCTCAGATTTGGCACATTCCAATGGATACAATTTAAAAAAACACTCGCCACAGACTTCAATCTCTCAAATGACCTTGTTAAGATCCTTTTCCCCAACACAGATTATCACGTCTGTGTGTCAGGAGACATCACGACCAGTTTGCTAACGGAGAGGCAATAAAGCTCCTACAGTCTCTGCGTTCCCCCTGCCGTCGTTCCGAACGTCGGCCGACATTTTCACTGCTAAGAAAGTGCCCGATCCCATTTACTCCAGACTCAGAGTCCTTTCTAATAATGATTTTAATTCCTAACTGCATATTCCAAAAGCATTCTAACACTTGCCGACCTGACAAAGAAAATTGGTATCTCTAAATCTAGTTATTTTGTGCCTCACAACATGGTGGTATGAACCGAAAAACAATTTGATTTGTCAGATTACCCCACATGTTCCGAGAACCTTTTTGCTCTAGCTGACTGCAGAAAAATTTGCTGAGCAGTCATTTGTACTAAAGATAGATATTCACTGCATCTGCTGATGAGAACATGCTGAATTTGTATGCAGTTTTAGCACCAGCTCTTATCAGATCACTTTTGAAGGAATATGATGAGAGGACTGTGAAGCAAGCAAAGTAATTCTTCATGGTGAAACATGGGAAAAAATGATGCCCAGCATCTCATTTAGAAAACCCGTTTGGCTATCAATATTGCTTTAAATGCTTGGCTGCAACTGTAAAAGAAAGCTAGAAGAAAAATAAGCTATTGCTACTTCTAAAGTTTATAAGAACATCATTTTGCACTGAAAACAGTAAGTAACTGTAAAAGAAAGCTAGGAGAAAAATAAACTATTGCTACTAAAGTTTATAAAAACATCATTTTGCACTGAAAACAGTAAGTATGGCATGAAGCCTTTCCAAAAACTTGAAGTAGGGAACAAAAATTAAAGGATGGGAGTTTCCAGTATGCACAAACTATAATCACACACTGTCTTCATCACCAGACTACTGCCTGCAATCAAAGCCATTTTGTAAGCTGGAAGAGTTCATCAATATGGGAGGCAGGGGAATTCTATTGAAATGTGATTCAATAAATAATTTCACATTTTAGTTTCAGAGGGAAAAGTTTGCTTGGATGTTTCTAAATAATGCTACGCAAATTTTGCAGCTAAAGGGAAAAGTGGATTAAAAAAAAGAAAAAAATCACTCCTCATCCAAGCAATTCTAGGAATTTGCAAGTTTTTTCTTAAACTTTTTGGTGGTGCTGACAAGTTAAGCAGCTACCGCCTTCTTCTCTCACTGCTTACTTGTTCTTACCTCCATCACATGCTCTAACTTGTGAAGATGTTCAGTGAATTGATAAGGGAATGGATCTGGCTGAAAAAATGTATGCGTTCTGCTCAGCTCTTTCAGTCAGGGCAGTTCTTCAGTACTGTTCAACAATGAATTTAATTTAAAATGCTGCTAATGCATTGCTCATCATTTCAATGGAAGAAAAAGAGCATATTCAAGCAATTAGTTTCCAATTATTTTTGTTGTATTTACTCTGACACTGAAAAGGTGTCAGAATTGCAGAATTACAAATTCTGTACAAATTACAAAAGTCAGAATTACAAATACAGAAACACAAACAACATTCGATTTGTCTTTACCCAGAGTATTTCCACTGTGCAAAAGCCTGTCTATAACAAGTGGATTTAAAGTGAGATGAAATTTTCAGAACAGCACAATGAGGACAAGAAGCCTGGAGCAGAGAGTCTTGTTTTGGTTTTTAAAAGATACATCATTTGTTTGATTTCAAACTGCAGAACACAAACTACTTTATTCCACAGTTTAGACCAGGAAAGCAAGCTGTATGGCAACCACACATGAAATGACAAACTAGCTCCAAATTGTCTTTCAACTGAGCAAATTCTTACACTTAAAAAATAAGCATTGCTCTGAAGGACAAGATATACGCTACCTACAACAAGGAGAGCAACATTTAAAATGGTATCTTTCAAAATAATTTTGTATGTGCATTACCAAAAATATTAGCCATCCTATCTCTGAAACTTTCATTAAAAGGCTGGCCAAAATAACTCACAGTTACAGAGTTTAATAATCAGGAATTGATCTACTAAAATAAGAGTAATTTCTCATCAAATCCTTAACAATAATATTTTTGAAAATGGACACAACATGCAATGTTTTAAAAGCAAGAACTCAGCATAAAAAAAAATCAGCTTGTATCTGCCAGTTTAAAATCATCAACTCCAGCAGTGCAATAGCTAAAAGAATAAGCTAAGAAAGGAAATATCATTTATAGTGTATCCTCAAAATAGTAACCCATATTACTCTTCAAACAGGTACATCAGTTAATCTTCTTAAATACCACAATAAATAAAGATTTCATGAAAAAAAAATCCCTCTGAACTACACTGAGAGTGAATTTAAGGCTTAATTTATGCCCTTGTAACATGGCATAGTATAAATCCAAAGGTAGGTATGAAGTATATGTAGGTAGGTATGAAGCACTGCAGTGCTATTTGTAACACTCATGATGTCCTGAACCTCTGCAAACACTAACCACAAACTCTGGAGAGCTGAAACTTTGTTAAAAATAGGTGCCTACTTGTACACCACTAATTTTAACAAGAATAACTAAGTATTGGGGCATTTTCCTTTTCAGAAAGCTTGTTAGTTTTACCTGCCTTACACCACTACAAAGTAGTATGATAGCAGTAAACTGCTACACACAAACCATAAATCTCAGAGTGGCCTATAAAGGGCATCATGTATCAGCTGTGTCAAATTTTAGTGTCAAATTCTGCTCCCTTTGTTTGCAAGAGCAGCCTCAAAGCACTCAAAGCCGTTACTTGAACAACTCTAAGTCAGCAGAGTAAACTCAATCTGCTGGTCTATGGCATTTCAAGTTCAGAGGCCTAGCAAATACCTCAGTGGAGCCTGCATGATGAGGATTTGCTCAGGATTTGCCTTCAAACAGCAAAGCAGAGGCACTGTCGAGTCAGTGCTTCAAAGCTGTACAAAAAGACACGTTTACATAGGTCTCCCTCAAGGCACTACCCAAGAAAAAGCAGGTGACCTACTAGTATAACTTCCATGCCACAGATTTAGAGGAAGGTCAGGCAGTGAAGTGAGCACAGGACATGTGAAAAGAGAGGTGAAAATCCCAGTGGCTTCAGCCAGGAAACCAACTGACCAGATTCTTCCTTTAAGCACCGTGTCACTCAAATAGAGAAGGATATCTACTTCCATTAAACATTATCTTAAAAAGTTGTAGCATTAATTCATGCCTTACTAAAGAGACCTGCTTCACAGAGTTCAGTTCGGAAAATCCAAACCTTTTCCTTCCATCCAACATTTTTTCCAATGTTGAATTTTGTCCTTGAAATAAATCTAGTCAATTAGAAAGAAAAAACTATTAAGAAGTAAACATAGTATTTCATACGTGGAGCGTTTTCCTACGTCGACACATATCTGGCAGCTTTAGCGTGGTGCAATGAATAACAAACTGCACTCGCTTTCCCTCTCCAGCACCTTGGGGCACCCTGAGGCTGCAGCCTGGCCGCCCGCAGACACAATTCTGCACCACAGGCAGGGAAGTCTAGAGCCCCTTCCAGTTGCCTACAGGTTTTGCTTCACACTACTTACAAGAGATACCCAGGAACATTATCGGATTTTGATAAGGCAAAACACACAAGACTCCCAAATGCAATGAGACAGGAAGATTACGATATTTACTCAAGATTATACAAGGAAGTCTAAAGACACCAAGGATCCCGTGCACGACTGCACTTCACTGCCCAGAGCAGGAGATCCTGGAGAGCTTTAAGGTGCCTCAGTACCCTCTATAGAAACTTACGCTGTATTTATAAACAACTGGCATTTGCAGACAGCTGTAACTGAGTGTCAGCTTCATAATACAAACAATTACTTGTCAGGATGTAAAGATTACCTAATATCACCTAGTAGTGATATTAGATACTAGTAAACTGGGGATTTATGATACAAATGATCTCCATTTCATTGTAAAGCTCATTAGAATAAGCAGTAGTCTGTACTCACAGGAACAATAAGCCCTTGCCAGGTCAATAAATTAGCTTCATCAACCTGGATATTACGGAAGTTTTTCATTCCACATTTGCGGATTTCTTCAAGCTCCTGCAAAGCAAACAAAGCCGTAAGTGGAAGTTAATGACAATTGTGGGCATTATGTTCATATTTATTTATCAAAATGCTTGGAGAGGTCATCGCAGGTTTCTTCAACATTAAACAACTTGTGGTTTCAGGAGTTGCAACACACACAATTAAAAAAAAATGCGAGAAGTAAAATTAACTGAGGCAGGATATTAAGACAATGTTGTTATTGATATGCCACAATGATATCAAAATACCTTATTAATAAGATTATAGATAAGTATTTCTACTTCTATTGTGTTAAAATCATCTTAGATCTGGTATTCAAATCAGTGTCTTTGGTAACAGATCTTGATAATTCTGTGAAACACAGACATAAAGCTCATCATAGGACTTCTCCACATGTGCAAATTAGTGGTTTAGAGGATTTATTTGTACTACATTGTTTATTCAAACACACTGATAAAGTCACTGAACAGATCTATTATGTCAACTGAAAACTAACAAATTCCTGCATAATCAACTTAAATCAATGCAAAAACAGAAAATTACTAATCTAAGCCAAAACAGTCTTATTAGATCAGTAACTCAAGCAGATGCATCCCTCTGCTTCCTCCCTCAGAGCTAATAGTATTATAAGCATACCTCTCTTTACAGCTGTAACCCTCTGGAATAAAGAAACTACTTGTATGAAGTAAACAAAACATTTCTATCCAGAAACCACCAGTCAAACCATTTTTGATCATTCAGTGATCCAGAAATCACCAAAAAATATAAAGCCTATTTTAATACTTAAAAGAATGTATAAGCAAACTGTAGCAAGTGCTTTTCCAAGTCTATCACCCTGAAATCATGAGACCAAAAAGCAGCACCTGAAGCTCCACTTCTTTTCCTAACAACAGTCCTTTGCTCTTTATTTAAGAACCCTATGTTTAACGTAAATTCAAATTCACCCACGGTGAAGTGTAAAACTTGCCCAGCGCTTTCTGAAGCGAGGCCCACGCCGGTGTGTCCACTCACACCAGGAAAAGGGTTGCTGATGAGCACTAGTGGTGCCCTCCACCAGCACAATGTTCCACGGGTGGGTGCAACTGTGCTTGCAAAACTGCACTTCACATTATTATGGTAAAATCACCAGCTACAAGTAAAAGCAATATATACTGGAAAAAGAAAAGACAGTTTCTCTGGTACAGGTGCTCTAGTGTTACGGAGTTTTGCTGAAACTGTTTTATGTTCATCATAGATTAAACCTTTCCACACCTCACTGGGAATGTTTTAATACTTCCAGTAGTCTCTCGCTTAATCCTAGGTTCATGCAAAAATGTGAGATCCCAAGGGAACCTGAGATTTCCACAGGCACAGGAAGGAAAAAGAAAAATGACATGCCAGGCCACCCGCGCCGTGCAGGCGGGACAAGGATCATTCCCACAGCAGGACACTTCAACCCATCCAGTCGGTAACCTTATTTATCATAAAAATAGGACCTCACTTACAAGCACTGAAACTAAAAACACACACGTAACATCTGGCTTTGGATGCTCAGTGCAGAGCATCAGCTCAGCAAGAGCCTGACACAAACCTAGACAGAGCCGAGATCATGACTCTGTCAAACCTGCCTTTCGAGGGGCCTGATTTCACACATACAGAGCTTTTAAGTCCTAGCAAAGCAGGACTCTAGAGGGGATAAAAGAAAAAATTCCATTCCACACTAAATAGAAAATAATAAGAATAATAAAAACTAGATTCACCAGCACACATTGAAGCACGAATAAACACGTATTACCAGTGCCTTCCTTCTAAAACAAGGAAAACTCACAATTTTAGACATTTTCTAGTCCCTGTGTTAAAAACATATTACACGTACTGCAGAAAAGCCGCTATAGTGTCTCAGCGGGGATCCAACGCCCACGAAGTAGCTTTCATTACATATTCAGATGCCAATATTACACAGTTCCTGGTCCAGACAAAAATTCAGCACACACAGATAAAGGGTGGATTACAGGTCTGTAACTCAGGCATATTATTAAATTAATAAAATAAATTAGTAAAATGGGGCTTCACGTTACTAGAAAACTGAACATTTACATTTCAGAAAGCAAATTCGTACTAAAATACTGCTTTGCGCACAGCGATGCTGCCATTAAGAAATGCAACAATCCAGCGCAGGAACCACAGCAAACTAAAACTAAAGAAAACTTCAAATAAATATACAAATTGCTCCCTTGTTTCCCTGAAGCTCATGACACATAAAGGGGAAATAAAGAGTCCAGAAGACACTGCATTAGGCAGCAGGCAGAAAGCTAGCTCAAGCCTTCTCCCCATTTAAAATGACGCGTGGAGCCTACGCGAGAATTTGCTTTCAAAACCAAAAAGCGGCAACTACTGCAGCGCATCGTGACCACGTTCCCTGCCTCCTCCCGGGCCCTGCTGCAGGAGCTGCCAAGGGGAAAGCAACGGATGGGCGCAGAGGGGCAGCTCTTCCCCCAGCACAGCCTTTGGGGCACCATTTGCTTCCACTGCCCCAGTCCTGGTGAGGTGGGTGAAGCTAAAACCACCGCTCAAACGCGCTATGGGAGCGACGGGGGTGCTGGATACCTTCAAACAGCGCCGAGATTAGAGGTTAGTCCGCATCTAGCATGGGCCCGAGCAAGTCTAAGGGACAAAAATTACTTATTAAGCTAAAGGGATGTGGTGCAGATATTTATTTTAAAATAAATCTTCAGAGCCCGGGCAGGCAGTAAATAGATTAGTTCCTATTCTTGTCCTCCACCCCTTAATTTTGTTAAGTAACGTAATTAGAGGAGCACTGAAGGAGTCTAACTAATGGTTACAATGCTGAAGTAAGAATTTCAGTCAATATTTCATTCCCTGCTCTGTTATCAACCTCGCACGTGACCTCACTGCACTGTTTTTCCCACTAATAAAATCAAAATTTCTCCCTATTTCATGGGGCTCTCTCGGGAACATGGCATTTGTAGTTTGGCCATGTTCAGATAAAGTGTTACCCACAACACACAAAATAGAGAGGACATCGTTTCGGATGTATTTTCTGATCTTTAAGTAGAGCACTGAAGGAGTAATAAAAATACACGTCATCTTTCTCTCATATAATCAATAAGCACTTACAATTTTGACTTAGAATACTGGGTAATAATTTGTCCTATTCATAGCAAAAAAAAATTAATGTTTGAAATTAAAAAGTAAATGGCATCATCTTAAAATATAATAAATATTTCAAAAGGCATTTCAGCCATTACAATTGTAACTAAATCCATGGTTTCTCTGATTTTCCAATCATTCCTAGAATTCCCAGTTCCTGTGCATTTATGACATTTCACACAACGCTACAAAAAGCTGACTTTGGACACAATCCTGAAACTGCTTAGCCCATACATCATTCAAACTCTGATACTTATCTAAAAAAAGGCTACAAGCTACATATGAGAAAAAAAAAAAAAGTGAAGATAAGTACATGCAAGAGCTTAATCCAAGAATTATGGAAATAACCATAAGAGCTCATATCAACTACAGTAAAATTCTGCATTAAGCCCCCAATGCTATTAAATGCACAATGAAAATGTCTATAGAAATAACTCTGAACTGAGGCTATCTACTGTTTACAGTCTATGTTTACCTGTTTACAAACACGTCCCCTAGGAGAAATGTGACAAGTTAAATAGGCCCCAAGACAGTGCTAGAAAGCTGCCCAATTTCAGTTCTGAATCTCATACACTAGAGAGAAATGTTAACAAAAAAAAGAAAAAAAAAAAGAAGAATGTAAACATTCCTAGATTGATTATAGCTCTTGTAAGAGCTATTACTAAGTTTCCACTGAGACATTACAATCCTGCAAATCTACATGCCTTTTATTTGCTGAGTAATTCTCCTTTTTGGCAAAGTATCTCCATTTGATCTTTACTCAAGATTTTTTTCTTAAAACTTTGATTTTTTAAAAAATCTATTCTAAATTCTGAGTTTTAAAAGGAGAAAATGAGTCACTCTGTATTGTCACTTCTATATAAGGACAACCATATACTACTCAAAACCAGCTGAAATTCCCATTTCCCACATTACTAAGAACCCACGTTTGGATCGCTGTGGAATCGGGAGTTACGTTGCGGATGTGGGAGCAGTCGTGGGCTCACGTACGCGGGACGGCGCTGCTGGGTACGAGGGCGCCGCTCGGGGCACGTCCCTGCCATCCACCAGAGCTCCTGGGTGTGGCTTTGGGCTTGCATTTTATCACGGAGTTCAACAGTTGCATAAATGTTTAACTACGCAATTATGAAAGCAGAAGGAAAACAGTTAAGATTAAAGTAAGTATCTATATACTGCATTTCATCCACGAGGAGCTGTTTACTCTTTAAATCTATTTTCTGTTTGTAATACTGAGGACACTTTTTAACACTCACAAGAAAAGAAAGAGAAACCCGGTTTGATCGCCCTGAGGATCAGCAGAGAAGGAAGTAGCCCCAAACATGGGACGCGACACTCATCTTTGAGCAGCACTTATACAAACACATATTCAAACCACAGCTCAATACCCAGCAGATTTTTGCTAGGTTAATAAAGGGAATTGGCAAGCACCATGTATTACTACTCTCAGCTACCCTCTGCTGCTCCACATGTCATTTTTGGCTTTTCAGTGCAACTGAAGTGGAAACTGCCTGGTTTACACTGGTAGGTGGTGACGATGAAATGAATTTCATCAAGTCTCCTGGCACTTCTGGAGATCTGTGTTCTCAGTCATACCTGTCCGGAGATTGTAGGTGTTTGAGAAGAAACGGTCAGGAAGCAGTTATGGCAAAATAACTCCCTCAAGGGAGAAGGTTCCTCTACTTTCCTAAATAAAATCAAACCTTTGTCTTGGCCTGTTTTTCCCTAAGACATTGTCCCTAACAACATGTCCTTGACAAAGACAGCTTTATTCCCACCTCTCACATTTCATGAGGAGTTGAGATCTGACAACTGTGGCTCTTTTGGTGTAATGGTGGCTCATAAATCAAAATCCCACCTCGAATGTTGTAGG